TAATAGGGCTCAAAGAAGGTTCAGCTAATAAAGTAATGTCTTCCGAGTGAATAGTTTATATTATACTCATTCTCCTTCAGTTGATGAAATCTGGCTATATGATATACAGGTTTTGATGAAATTAGTGTTGAATTAGTGTTGAATAAAAATGTCCCCAGTTGATATCCAACATAAAATGTGTATTTAGGATGTCATGGTGGAGCATCTAATGCAGATGATAAATCACATCTAGCCATACTTCCAGACGCATTCCACAAAGAAAACAGCCTCTCCTGCATTCTGGATTTGCATCATCCTGGCAAATTGTTGTTGTCATTCTCCTTGTTGTTAGCTTGCTACTGCCACAGCATCTTGCATCTCAGCTGGCAGAAGATTTGTCCTTGATTAGAGAGCCAGGAACTGCTCATCGAGCAATTCCTTATATGGCTGTCTTCCAGAAGACTCTGGAATACCAAAAGTCAGTTTCTGCTTTGACTTGCTAACAACCCACTGGCAAGATCTGAAACTATAGAAACGTTTAGGGTGAAACGTTTAGAGTGTGTTTTATTTCACTTGAACTGTGTCTTGTACTGCTCACTCTTCTCCCTGCAAAAAGCACACTACAGTTTGTATCAACATCTACAGCCCCATTAAGACAAATAGTTGATTTTTTAGACCAAGTCAAAAAGCTGCTTTTTGCAGGGAGAAGAGTGAGCAGGACAGACACAGTTCGAGTGAAATAAAACACACCAGCTTGTTGACTTGGTCTAAAAAATCAACTATTTGTCTTAATGGGGCTATAGATGTTGATACAAACTATAGTGTGCTTGTGCAACCACACACTGCTCACAGTGTCACACTCTTGGTGCCACAGATGGAGGGTGGAATTTGTAATTGGGCAGAGCTAGGACACTTTCTTTTTTTTTTAAAATTCTATTGAAGCATAGTTGATGTACAATGTTGTGCTAGTTTTTGGTGTACACCAAAGTGATTCAGTTACTGATCAGTCTATCTATAATAGTTTGCATTTGTTAATCCCAAACTCCCAATCCATCCTTCCCCCATTCCCACCCCCACCTTGGTAACCACAAGTCTGTTTTCTACGTCTGTGAATCTGTTTCTGTTTCATAGATGTGTTCATTCGTGTCATATTTCAGATTCCATATAAGTGATATCATATGGTATTTGTCTGTCCCCACCTGGCTTACCTCACTTAGTATGACAATCTCTAGGTCCACCCATGTTGCTACAAATGGCATTATTTCATTCTTTTTTATGGCTGAGTAGCATTCCATTGTATATATGTACCACATCCTCTGGAGCTAGGACACATTATGTGCAACTTCATTGACAAGGAAGGGACTGGGTCAGTGGGCACACACACAGGCTGTATTACCTTACATCAATGGTAAGCTCTCTGAGAACATAGACTGGTATCTGTTGAATATATTGGGGGAACAGGTAGGATATCGTTAGTGCAAAGAAAACATTTTTAAATCATATATTGTCAAGGAAGGGGACAACTGACATTTCTTGAGTGTCTAGTCTATGGCAGATTCTCTGTGAGGGGCCTCGTGATTACCTCATGTTGGCTTGCGTGCTAGGGGGTATCAAGGGGATGGTCAATAGTGACAACTCCACATCAGCTGTGTGCCCTCGACCAAGGTCCTTTGGCCCCACCAAATGCCATTTCCCCACAGATAAAGTGAGGGCAAGAAGAGCTGCCTTGTTGAGTTATTTTGAAGGTCCAGTCAGTGTCCATGAAAGTATGTGGTAAACCAAGAAGCCTTAGGCCAAATATATTGTTATTGGGCTCTGAGGAGAACTTTTAAAAATGAAGAAGCCAAGGTCCCAGCCTTCCAGAAGGTTATTGCATAGCGGAGTGGACCAAGTTACTTAAGACACTTCCAAAAAAACTAACCGTATCAGATAGTGTGGGTGATGTCCCAAGGTTGTGTGTGCATTGGGTTACCCAGTTTGCAGTGTCTGCATCTATGCTTCTGTCTTAACTATTAACAAAGTTCAGGCTCTGAGCCCCTAACCTCGATCTCCTTCAGTGTCCTCAGAGCATGTGCCACCCCCCATCCCCACAACATGATCTCTCTTTGCCTAGGATGAGGACCATCGAAGTTTCTTGATATTCCATTTGCGGACAGGATGACTCACTCTCTGGCTCATGCCCAGACATCTCGGAGCTGGGTGAGCATCACTGGGACACTGGACTCACTGTGGAGATTGACAGATTTGGGTTCAAGTCTCAGCTCCACTGGGCTTCCCAGATGGTGCTAGTGGTAAAGAACCTGCCTGCCAACGCAGGAGATGTAAGAGACACAGGTTCGACACCTGGATTGCGAAGATCCCCTGGAGGAGGGCATGGCAACCCCACTCCAGTAATTCTTGCCTGGAGAAGTCCATGGACGGAGGAGCCTGGCAGGATACAATCTATGGGGTCGAAAAGAGTTGGACATGACTGAGCACAACAACAACATGGCACAGCTCCACTACTTCCAAGCTGGGTGGCTCTAATCCTGGATCCCATTTTGCTCATCTGTAAAGTAAGTACAACAAAAGTAACCACCTCATTGGGCTGCGAAGCATTTTTTTTTTAAATCTATTTATTTGGCCATGCCAGGTCTTTGTTGTAGCATGCAGAATCTTTTAGTTGTGGCACGTGAATTCTTAGCTGCGGCATGTGGAATCTAGTTCCCTGACCTGAAATGGAACCTGGGGCCCCCTGCATTGGGACTGCACAGTCTTAGCCACTGGGCCACCAGGGAAGTCCTTTGCTGAGCATGTTAATTGAGAGAGGGCATGTGAAGTGTTTAGCCAAGTGCTTGACACATAATAGGTATGGAGTTGAGGAGGCCTTCCTGGCATAGTTTGCTAAGCATTCTGGAGTCAGCCTAGAGGTGACATCACCATGGCCAGCCATCCCTGACCATAGTGCAGAGCACTGGAGCTGGCATCCTTGACAAAATGTCACCCTCTTCTCAATTGCCTCCCATCACAATTCTAACCCTTTATTCACTCGTATCAACTCTTCTGACTGGGGACTGGAATATTGTCTTCTGTGTCAGCTAAATATTTCACAAGATGATACTCACTAAGGCGGCTTTCTTCAGTGTGGATGAATGTTCACCCTGTCTTTCACCAAGTTCATTTCCCTCTGCTTCTCTAAGCTTGTAGCTTTCTGCACTCTCATGCCTTTTAGTGAAATCTGAATTTTGAAAATATGTACATAAAAAAGTAAGTCCTTTTCTAGGTTTTGCTCTGAAGCCCAGTTGAGTCTAATCTGGCTCCCTCTGATTAAAAATTAATTTTCACTTAGGCGGTGACATGTATGATTTCTCTAAACTAAATTTTCTCTTTTCCTGGGTTGTTCTTATAAATCCTCCCTCTTCAAGCCCATTTGGGTGCCAAACAGATCTTTTCCCTGGGAGCCACTTTGCCCTCAGAGGCTAGCTTCCTCTAAATCCTCCAGATTGAAATTTTCAGCTTTTGTATTTTATTATTCAAAACTAGAACTCCCACAGAGACCAGCCAGGAGATCAGCAGTGGGCGTGCTCTTCTCTTGCAAAGATTCCGCAGTAAGCAAACAAGTGGGAGGCTGTGGGCCAGGCAGGGCCATTCTTGCTTTTGTTATTATCATTATTAAAACCTACCTAGGGCTTTTGTGTCAGTGGGAGGTCAGTTCTCAACACTTTCCCCCAATCCTTCAGTTTTGACTTTACTTTCCAAGTCAGCAGAAGCCCGGGAGGTTTATTTTCAAATTTCTCTCTTACCCACTTGATCTAAGAAAGTTGCCTCCTCTAAGTCTTCCTTTGGCTTTTCTGTCTCAGCCCCAAGCTTGAGGTCATCTTCAGTAGAGCATTTTTGCCTGCACAAAGGCAGAAAGTATGGTCCCTCCTCAGCTCTTCTTGGTAACTGGCATAACTTAGATCACAGCAAGTTCCTTCTAGGACGGGTCTTCGGTCTTCGGAGTCATCTGATACAGCCCCTCCATTTACCAAGGTCAGGAACTAAATCCCAGAGAGGTCAAGAGACTAGCCCAGGGTCACACAGTGAGCTGGAGGCAGAGCTAAGACTCAAACATTGCTTTCTTCGCCTCCAGCTTGGCGCTCTTTCTACTCAGCTACGGGGAAAGGGAGTTGCTGGCCCAGCTCTGGCTCACACTGGATGAACACAAAACTGACTGTGTTTTTCATGACCGCTGTGGTTTGCCCAGCTGATCAAGTCAAAACTGCTCTGGCCAAATCGACCATTAACTGTTGAAGTGAACAGAGTCGAAAATTACTGTCAATAATTTAGAGTGGGGCTGGCCCTGTAAGTTCATACATACTTAAAACCCTCCAGCTCAGCTCGCCAAGCATCTCCTCCACTGCCATTATGCTTGTTTCATGGTGTCTCCTGGTGGGGATCATTTTTCCTCCTCTTCTGTGGATGTCTCCTACCAGGGTTCACATGGACATGTCTCATTCTTCACTGTGATTAAATGGATCATTGTATCCTTTCATCACCCAGGGGACACCAGCCCTGGAAAGCACTGGAGAGATGTGAAGGGAGGGTGAGACAAGAAAGGCAGGCAAAGAAAATGGGATGGGGGCAAAGCCAGTCTCACCCCTGTCATTAAATATGTGTATGTTACTCTTGTGGGAAATATAACCAAGAGCTCAAACCAAAGGTATTCAGAGTCGAAAGTGAAGAGAAATGTACATTTACACAAGATGTACTCTTTCCAGGAACTCAACTGAGTACCTCCCACAGATTGTTTTAGTGAACTCATATTACAACCGAGTGAGGTTGTTAGAGCCCCATTTTCATGGATGGGAAAACTGAGGCTCTGAGACAGCTCAGAGTGCTGATGAAACCCCAGGGAAGGTGCTCTTCAAACCTGTGCCCTCTCCTTTTTAAAATAAACTCATTTGAGATTGGCTTCCTCTTTATTCTATCCCTAAGCCAGCTTTTAGAAGGTACCTGGTCAGGCTATTTTATGAGTGGAGACTGAGCCCCAAATAAGCGACATGACTGTATCAGGAGTGGAGTATGACCTGCTGCCCCTGGTGGTTGCCAGGCCTTGGCTCGCCATGGCTTTCAAAGCCCTGCCTGAACAGACACCTCCAAAGGCTGTCGGTGAGAAATGGGGGTGTCACTGTCAGGGAAACAGTGGGCAGGTCTCATCAGGAGAAGGGTGGCCATGGGTCTGATGTTCAGAGTTGACCATGAACCCTGGTCCAGTGCTTCTTTCTCTTGCCTTTGCAGCACGCGTTCATTCAGCACACACATTACCCCTACATCCTCCTCCTCTTTTAATTCCTTCAACCCCATGTGTTTTTTTAAAGGCTAAACAAATAAATTCAGTGCTTCATGGGATAAAAATAGACAACCATTGAGAGTGCTGTCTATAACATACCTAACTTGTTTAGAATATTAAAGCTCAAATTTCAGAGCGGTGCTTTCATGAAGCAGTGCTGTTCATTCAGTTTGGAGAGATGCAGAAAGACAGCAACGAAGTGACAGTAGTTTGCATGTCTTCAATCTTGGTGACAAAAATCACCTATAATTGAGAGTGTGAGGTTTTTTTTTTTGTTTGTTTTTTGTTTGTTTGTTTTTAGTTAGCAACAGCTGGACAAATGCTTTGTCCAGCTTTGAGGCAAATGCTCGTGATAAGGGGAAAGCATATTTTCTTAGTGTTCTATACTCTATAAAGAATGCCAGCACTTTTAAAAATAAATCTATTGACTTCAGTTATTTGCCAGCACTTTCTTTGACATTAAGTTTCCACTGTTTCTGTTTCAATTTTAACAAGGGACCCTGCTGTTACCCCTGTCACATAGGCTCAGGACAAGTCCAGCTGCTGACTTTTTCTTTTTTTTTTTTCATTTATTTTTATTAGTTGGAGGCTCATTACTTTACAGTATTGTGGTGGGTTTTGTCATACATTGACATGAATCAGCCATGGAGTTACATGCATTCCCCATCCCAGACTCTGATTTCTTATGAATAGGGCAACTGAGCCCAAGAGCGAACAGGTGTCTTCCTCATGGTCAAACAGGGTCCTGTTCTCAGTTACCCAAGTCTCTGGACTCCTAGGCCAGGGCTCTCTCAACCACCTCCTGCTCTCCTCTCAGACACCAGCAACCAAATGCATATTTGAGAGCACACTGCTTAGTATGCAAGCCAGCCTGACCTTTATGCTCCCAGAATCTGCAACGTTTTGTGGAAACCACGGGAGGACAAGGATCTGGATAAACAAGGAAAAGAATGGCATACTGTGGAGACAACCAGAGGCCCTGCTCAGGCTGCAGAGTCCTCCTCATGTTCCAAGTCCTGAATCCCAAATATATACACAGACGACCACTCAGGCAAGAAGATGCAAAACCACAGGCCTGTCCCTTACCCCAATTTCCAAAAGAAGGCTGATTTCAGAATATGAGCATGCGTGCTAAGTCAGTTCAGTTGTGTCTCTTTGCGACCCCGTGGACTGTAGCCTACCAGGCTCCTCTGTCCATGGGATTCTCCAGGCAAGAATACTGGAGTCGGTTGCCATTCCTGACCCAGGGATCGAATCTGCATGTCTTATGTCTCCTGCATTTCAGGTGGATTCTTTACCACTAGCACCATGTGGGAAGCCCTTCTGGAGTATCAGGATCTTTGTTATTCAGTTCCTGAGGGGAACCAGTTCCTGGAAGATGGGCCCAGCCCAGCATTGCAAGAGGTTTCGGAACGTCTTACGAAGGCCCAGGCATGGCCTCAGGAGAATGTGGCTCTCGGGACACACACGGGAAGAATTCCGTCTTCTTAGCAGGGAGCCTCTTCACTCCAGGAACAGTCCTCTGAGACTTGTGAATTCCCCTACTGCCCCGCAGACAGTTTCTTCCCACTTTGGGAACCTGGATATGTGAAATCCACCACGAGAGAGTCATTTCTTTATTTTTCTTATAGGATAAGGGTAGAGGAAAGTCTTAGAAATGCAAATACCCTCCAGTGAGCTGGTGTATATAGTCACACTAGAATATACTCAGGTGGCTCAGTGGTAAAGAATCTGCCTGCCAATGCGGGACACTCGGGGGATGTGAGTTTGACCCCTGGGTCAGGAAGATCCCCTGGAGGAGGAAATGGCAACCCCCTCCAGTATTCTTGCCTGGAGAATCCCATGGATGGAGGAGCCTGGTGTGCTACAGTCCGTGGGGTCGCAGAGTGACACGACTAAGTGAATGAGCGCACACATCCGATCTCAGAAGCTGGACTTCACAGCCTCATCCTGTTCCTTCTTTGTGAAGAGGAAAACTACCAACCTGACTGCCCCTTCCTCTGAGAAAGAGATTGACTGTGTGCATGTGTTCCTCTTTATGACCTAAATGAGTAAATCCTGACTGTTTCCAGTACTGGTTACCAGTCCCCCAACCCCATCCAAGGCACCTTCCCATGTTCCAGTCCCACTGATCTCTCTTAGAGCAGGAACTCCAGAGTTCTTAAGTGTCACTGGGGGCATGAATGTGTGACCCACTGTGTTCCAGAAGTGTTTCCCTGGGGACCCACTAAATGTATTGGTGGGTGGGAGGTGGTCCTCATGTGGCACCATGAAGAGAGCCACCTACTGAAGACACCAAAGGGGTCGAATTGGTGGTCTGGGAGCAGGTAGAGACAACTGGCAGGTTGTGCCCCTCAGCGATCCTCATGGCTCGCCTGGCTCTCCCCTCAGCTGCCCTTTCAGATGTGTCCCAAGGGCCCAGGGGCATCTGGGGAGCTCTCTGGGGGGTCAAGAGGTCTGCCTTGAAAGTTGCTGCTGCATCTGACTCCTTAGTCTGACGCCTCATCCATCAGCTGATCACCACCCCCCCCCACCCCTCCCCAGGATCCCCAGACAGGTAAAATGCTTGAAATGCAGGATTCTCAAGAATCCGTCATGCTTGCTGCCAGACGAAGGGACCCCTGCTGTCCCCAGTAGCTTGGGGGCCACATGGAAGTCCAACCAGGACTGGGGACATCTGGGGAGGAGATAAGGGCGGGGGGCACAGCTGTGAAATTGCCTGAGAAGGGCCCCTACTTTCACTGGCCCACGACTCAGTGGGCACATCTGAGCTTAGAGCAGGAGGTAAACACTGCCTCATATTTGGAATTGCCCAAACCCATCCCTGGGAAGTCCTGGTGGCTCAGTGGTAAAGAATCCACCTGCAGTGCAGGAGATGTAAGAGACTGGGATTCAAACTCTGGGTCGGGAAGATCCCCTGGAGGAGGAAATGGCAACCCACTCCAGTATTCTTGCCTGGAAAAATCCCCTGGACAGAAGAGTCTGGCGGGCTACAGCCCATGGGGTCGCAAAGAGTCACATGTATAGACTAAACATCAACATCAAAGGCCATCCTGACAGTGACCGAGATGGTCAGAAAGGAATTAGTCCTATTTTACAGCAGAGGAAAGTGAGGCTCAGGAGGGGCAAGTCATAATCCCAAGGCTGCCCAGCAAGCAACTGACAGAATCTCAGGTCTGGAGACCAGTGCTCGCTGCCTTACTGCACAGATAGAATAGACAAGGGATGAACAGAGCTCAGCAAGGGATCAAATGTTCTGAGGGAGATCTTGGGAACGCCTGTCTCTGCAGGGACTAACTGCCACCCCCACGACTCAGCTCACAGGCCCCCACCTCCCCCACAACACTGTTCTGAAGAGACACCACTGCCAGCCCAAGATTATTTCTGCAGAGGTGGGACTGGACACCGGTGGACAATCATTCACAGAAATACCAGTTCCCAATACCTGATCAATCAGATGGGAATAGTCAGAGTCCTGAGTCCTGGGACCTTGTCCTAAAGGGACATTCCTTCTTTCCTTGCCAATCCTTACAGTGCTGGTCCTGCAGCTGAATAGAGCCTTTCTGAACACTTGGCTTGAGGGTGCTCTGCACCTGTTTATTAAAAGAGGTGGTGTTAGGAAATGGATGGCTTCCTGGGTTCAAACCCTCAGGCTCTGCTGTGTGACCTGGGGCACATTACTTTCCCTCTCTGGGCCTGCTTCCTCATTTGTCACACCACCTTGGATTAGATGCCATCACCACTCCCCTCCATGTAGTATTTAATCATGTGCCTTTCTTTTAACGAATCTTATGAGTGAAGCCTTCCTGTAGATACGGGGCTTGATGCTGGGGATTGAGAAAGCATAGGGAAGTAAGGACTAGCCCCTGCTCTAAAAAAGCTCAAATTCTCATTCTGAAACTTTTTTTTTTTTTTTTGGTCATGCTTTTTCCTTCATGCTGACGTACCTTTTCACAAAATGCCCCCGTTTCTGTTGGAGAATGGAAACTGGCAAGGAGAGAGAGAAAAGGTCCAATTTGCGCCTTTGCTATTTTAGGGGAGGCTGAAATTATGAGCCCAATTGTAGTGATGCGTTCACTAGAGTGACCTCCATTCCCCCAAACAGGAGAAAACCCAGGTTTTCTGCTTAAGTGATTTGAGCTCTTGGGCGGGAGGCATTATTACATAAATTCAAGCTCGCTCCTGATCCTTAGTACCCTGAGTTGCCTGAAGGGGGAAATGGCACTGCCTGCGTGTGTGGCTGCAACCAGAGCTAGGAGCGCCTGCCCGCACCTCCTGTCCCCACCGGCATTCCAGAGTAGAGGCCAAATTGGCAGCAAGCTGGCCCGGATCCGTCGCCGCCTCAATCCGTGCGGGCCCTTCTAGGGGTGTATGTCGCGGGTTCAACTCCCAGCCACTCCTGGACGAGCCCCTAAAGGCTTCTTCCTCTCTGGCGGGAGCCGCGCGCGCCCCTGTCTTCATGCTGCTGCTCCGAGGCCGCCGCAGGCGGATGGATAACCTCGGGAGACGCGGCGACCTGGACTCCCTCTGCCGGGCCTTGCTCACCCGGGGCCTGGCCGCCCTGGGTCGCTCTCTGAAGCATGTGCTCAGCGCCATATTCTGCAAGACTTCCAGTCCCCACGCCAGGCACGTTTTAGGCGAAAGCCAGACTCGCGTTTCTGGGCCAGGGCGCGCGGGAGTGGTGCGGCAAGGGCAATCAACCGCGAGGAGAGGAAAAAGCGCGAAGTTCCAGCTGGCCCGCGGCGGGGGGGGGGGGGGGGGGGGCTCGGGGGCTCAAGGGCTCTGGACGGGAGTGGCGCGCGTTTGGTTCAGCTGCGGCTCCTTTGCCCCGCTTCCGCGGGCACCCTTAGCGCAGCGTCTCAGCTAGCAAGTCGGGGTACTCGCGGCCCCCCTCCCCCCAGGGGAACTCCGAACGCCGGGCTCTGAGCTCCCTCGAGGCGGCTCCCAAGGTGAGCAACCCGGTGCGGGCAAGAGCAGGGCTTCGGAGGCGCATGGCGAAGGAGCCCGAGACTGGGCAGGCGAGGAGGTGGCGGCGTATGTGCCGAGGGGACTGGGGGCAGAAGCGCCGGGGAGAGTCCGGTGGGCAAGGCGGAATGGGGATGGGAGCCGGGGAGCCACCAAGAGTGGAATGAGATGCGCGGAGGCTTGGACCAGTGGTAGGAGTCGGGGAGTGGGGAAACCGGGGCAGGCGGGGTCCCATGGGTACAAAACCCTCCGAAGCCGCTCCAGAGAGCCCCGGTGCGGGGAAAGGGCAGGCGGCCAGCGGTCAGGAGTCGGGCGGGGGGCGGGGGAGGAGTGGTGTGCGGCAGAAGCCACAGCGCTGAGCCTGCGGGAAGGAAGGAAGTGGGGAAGGGCGCCGCCGCCGCCGCCACGGTGGAGTACTCGGTGCCTACGGGAGGGGGAAAGGGGAGCAACCGTGGCGCCAGGGGAGGAGGCAGTGCGGGCGTGCGGCGGGCGCGGGCTGAGTTGCGGGATTGCCATAAGGAGCTTGGGTTTCCCCCAGCGTGGGGAACGTGGAGGAGAAATCCAACAAGCTGCTGCTGGCTTTGGTGATGCTCTTCCTATTTGCGATGAGCGTCCTCCAATACGTGTGCCCCAGCAAAGAATGCCAACTCCTCCGTCTGCAGGCATTCAGCTCCCCGCTGCCGGACCCATACCGCTTGGAGGATGAGAGCTCTGCCAGGTTCGTGCCCCGTTATACTTTCAGCAACGGCAACCTTCTGCGCAAGGTAGACTTCGACATCAAGGGCGATGACCGGATCGTGTTCCTGCACATCCAAAAGACTGGAGGCACCACTTTCGGCCGCCACCCGGTGGGCAACATCCAGCTGGAGCAGCCGTATGAGTGCTGCGTGGGTCAGAAGACATGCACTTGCCACCGACCGGGTAAGTGGGAGACCTGGCTCTTCTCCGGGTTCTCCACGGGCTGGAGCTGCGGACTGCACGCCGACTGGACCGAGCTCACCAGCTGCGTGCCCGCCGTGGTGGACGGCAAGCGCGATGCCAGGCAGAGACCGCCCAGGTGAGTGCGAGCGCCCGCGGCAGAGGGGGGCGCCCGGAGCAGAGCCGGGGAGCTGACCGATCGGAAGAGGATCGGAAGGCGCGGCTGATCGGTGCGGGTGACACAGGGAGCACCTCGGCGTCCCTGCAGTGGTGCCCGGGCTGGGCTGGGCAGGCGCCTGGCGCCCTGGCGCGTGGGAGCACAGCGCTGTGGCGGCCACAGGAAGCTCGTCCATTCCTACTCGGGACGGCTCCTCTGTCTGCACACAGGTTGGCCTGCTTGGCGGCTCGGGGTGCGCAATAGGGGAAGCGGCCAGGAAGCCCTGGACGAGCGCCCCCCGGCCGTTGCCAGGACAGGGTACCGAATGTCGATTCTGCACTGGAGCGCCCCCAAAGACCCTCGCCCTTCGTGTAGCATGCCTGAGCCCCTCCAGCCTCTCTCTTTTCTCTGAGCCCAGGTTCCCAAGCCAACTGTGACGATCCCGCATTCTTGCCCCTCTTCCCAAGCCTTTCCCCTCACTTTGTCTATTCGCCTCTCTTTCTCTTGCGTGGGATCTTGTCAGCTCCTGGCCGCTTGCTCTTTCCTTCTCTCTCCGTTTCCCTTTCTCACTTTGCTTCCCGTCCTTTCTTTAACCTTTTCTGTCTGTATGGTACCCCACCCCCCCGCGCGCTTCCTTCCTTACTTTTGTCGCCTCGCTCCTCCTTTCTCACCACTGGTTCTACTCTCCTTGGCCGAATGAATGTCCCTCCGCGGCTGTTTGCGGACCCCCAGAGAGAGCTCGTGGCACCCAGCTTGTGCCCCTGGCTACTGGCTGCACGCGGGGCATCCCCTGTGCTTTCCAAGTGCAAGGGGCACCTCGCAGGCCTAAGGGCTGCTTGGGACGCTTCTGCGGATCCCATGTGGGGCTCAGTCTTGAGAAACCTCTCCTGATTTACAAATTCCTGAGCCCTAGAGCAGGGCGCTGCCAGTCCACTTGCTGGGAACCTAGGGCTGATGCTGAAAGAGCTGTTTTATGGAAAGCCAGTCACTTTTGTAGCAAGGGCATTTTCCTCCAGCCAGCTGCAATGCCTGGCTGCTGAAGGTCAGGGAGTGCCATAAGGGGAGGGGGTAGGAACGACTCTTTGGGGTGCAATTGCCCCTGTCAGGGCTCCCATTCTGCTGCTCTCTATGAAACAGAGAGGGCTGCTGCAGGGGATGCCGGGAATGGATAAGGTGAGTTTAGCTGACATGGCCATGCTTTCTGTCTCTCCACCGAGCTGGCCACAGGAGGTTGCTGCTGCTACAGTGGCTGCTTCCCTGGACAGACTCCCCACTCTCTCCTCATGGTGAGGGCTGCTCTGCTCCAGACACTGTCACCTTTTGTTAGTATCTCTTGGGATGCAACAGCCAATGCAGGTTTTTCTTTCCAGCCTCAGAGGAATGGAGCCCTCTGAGTTTCTGGTCATCATTGAGATTTAGAGGAAACCTCACCCCCTACTCACTTTCCCATCTCTCAGGTTACAGTGTCCTTTCCGAATGCTGGAATTTTGGGAGAATCTGTTGAGCTCTCATTTCCCTTCCAGTACTAACCTCCCCCGTCCCCAGCCTCCTAAGAGAACCTTGACCCCAAGAAGGATGCCACCTCAATCCATTGTGAGAATTGTGTAAGCCATTGTCACCACAAGACTTTAGGGTTTAAGATGTTCACAAACAGTTTGGCAATATTGAAAATCATTCCTCTTGCTGATGGGGTCTGTAGGTGTAGTGAGAGGTGGTGATATAAAAAAAGCTATTGAGGGCAAAAAACAAATTCCACAGCCATGGCTGTGGCCGAGGAGGAAAAATGAAGTCTTGGCCACTATGGACTCCCCGGCCCTCTCTGGAGTTCCATAGGGCACATGTGCCTTTTAAAATCCCTTCGGACAGATAGTGTGACATAGTGTGTAAACACACATTATTGCTGTTGTGATCTTATGTATTTGATGGCCACTGTCCTCTGGCAGATTCCTTCAGAAAATTTCCATAGGATAACGAGGACTCCTCAAGGGGAGGGCTTAGCCTCCTGGACAGTCCCCAGTGGAAGCAAAATTATTTGAAATGAAATACTATTTCCTTGGTCATCAAAAGGGTGATACCACAGTGCCATCTAGTCTAGTAAAGGAAGAATCACTTTCTAAAGAGTCAGAGTTAATTGGATCTTCTGATATTCACCAAAATGAAGTAAACTTTGCTAGAGAAACACATGGCTACCCCAAGGACACTTTATTTCCTTAATTCCTACCCACCTCCAGAAATTGTCATCTTAAAGAGTAGTCATAGCTGGAGCGTTCCAGAATTTCCCAGGATGTTGACTGCTTACAGGACCAGTTCTGTGAATTCTGATAATCTGTGTGAGAGAAGGTGTGCACAAGTGTGTGACAGTGAGAGTGTGTATATGTTGAAAATTTAGAGACAGAGGCATCTGTGCTGTGCTGGTGGTGATGCGTGAGGCCGAGGAACTGGTCTCAGGAGACAGAAAGTCAGCTGCAGGGAGTTCCTGTGAGGAGCAGCCTTCCATGCCAGCTGCTGGTGGGCTCTGTGGTCCGCTGAGCTGAGTAGGACAGCAGCTCTGTCTGTTTGGCCTGGGAGTTCTGGCGCCTGGGCCTCAGGTCCAGGCCAGCCGTGAACCAGCTGCAAGACCTTGCACCTGAGCCTGTCCCAGCCTTGTCTGTGTGGAGAGTGGGTTCTGGTTCCTGATGAGCTTTGCCATCCCTTATTTTTGCTATGTCTCTGTAAAGTTGTGTTGTCGGCAGCAAGAAGGCAGAGTGGGCAGAAGTCTCCCCATTTATCAGGTGAGACAGAAGCCCAAAGGGGTTGGAGGACTTTCTCAAGGTCATTGGACTCTTTAGTGACACAGCAGGGATCTTGCTCCAGCTTGGGCTGATTCCACAGCCCTGGCTCTGTGGACTGCAACTTCATGAGCAATGTTTTGTTTGTTTGTTTTTGCAAAAGCACAGTGAGGTATTTCCTGTGAGTCATTACCACAAAGTGAACACTCCACGGATGCTCACTGGTGTTATTATCACCTACATCATCGCCGTTTCCAGTCATTTTTACACGTGTGTTTGAACGAGTGATTGGACTAGGGTTGCCGCAGCCATTGGGAGAGAAATAGAATTCTACCTCCCTGAAGCTTTATGCGCTCCAGGAGAAGGTCTGGTGGCCGGGTGGCAAAGGGGCGTCTCATTGCCAAGGCAGGAATCACTGCAAAGCTGGGCAGGGTGGGAGTACACTGGGAGCCTGGTGACTAAGCATCAGGAGGAGCATCACTGACAGGAAAGGACTATATAGCATTTCTATGGAGCATAGCTTTCTCTCTCTCTTTTGTCTTCTTTGTGGTTACTCCTTTTCAAAACTTGTAGTAAAGGCTTCCTTTTCTTTTCCTTTTGTTTAAAGGTAGCTTTATTTATTTATTTATTTTTGGCCACTTGGCTTGTGAGATCTTAGTTCCCCAGCCAGGGATCAAACCCAGGCTCCGTCAGTGAAAGCTCCAACTCCTAACCACTGGAGTGCCAGGGAATTCCCAAGGTGGCACTATTTTGACACAGCCATGTCTTGGTAAGAAGTCCATAGTGCATGAGCCTGCTCATGGCTCAGGTGCCCATGCTCCACTCCTTCCCTCATGCAGCAAAGCAGGCCAACAAGACTGGCATGTGGTATAGGGCGAGGCAGCGAGTGAAGGATCAATTTAAGCAGTGGTGCGGTCCTTCTGGTCCCTCAAGCTGTAGGGCACTGGGTTCTCACAGGCGTAGCTTCAATTAGCCGAGGATGCTAAGAGCTGTTATTGCCTCCTGCCCTGCACACAGGTATTTCCCAGGAGAGGGGGAGAAATTCACCATGATAAATTAACATCTTTGCCCGGATGGCAAATACATTGCTGGCATCCCAGCCAAGCTTGAAGTTCTCAAGGTGGTATCAAAATCTATTTGGAATTAGATTTTCTTAATAGTAATGTTAGATTAGTGCTATTACGTGGCAATAAGAAAGATAAAGACCAATACAGTATACTAACACATATATATGGAATTTAGAAAGATGGTAATGATAACCCTATATGCAAAACAGAAAAAGAGACACAGATGTACAGAACAGACTTTTGGACTCTGTGGGAGAAGGCGAGGGTGGGATGTTTCGAGAGAACAGCATCGAAACATGTATATTATCTAGGGTGAAACAGATCACCAGCCCAGGTTGGATGCATGAGACAAGTGCTCGGGCCTGGTGCACTGGGAAGACCCAGAGGGATCGGGTGGAAAGGGAGGGTGGGGGGAGTCGAGATGGGGAATACATGTAAATCCATGGCTGATTCAGGTCAATGTATGACAGAAACCACTACAATATTGTAAAGTAATTAGCCTCCAACAAATAAAAATAAATGGAAAAAAAAAGAATGTTAGAGCTTATCTTTTCTAGATGTCTGTTGTCAACTTAAGTAGCATGAAATGACGTTAAAGAATAGTCACCTCTTCTATCTGTCATCCATTATATTCCAGGGGAGATGTGTCATCTTTGCTCTCACAGAACTTACAGTAGAACACAATAATTTAGTGTTTTAGATATTTAATAAATAAGATGGGTTCTGTTTGAAAATGATTTGAATGTCAACAATGTCTTTAAAATGCCATACCTTTATTGGAATATGTTTCAAAAATAGAGAAAAGTTCATCTGTGTATGTAACAGTTTAAGTCTAATCAGCAAACTTTGTAGAGTAAGTATTATGACCTCTGCCTAGTGCTGGTAGTTGGAGGAGATTAGAGCCCAGACAAATCCCCAAAAGCCAAGGTCACCATCTTCAGCCTCAAGTTCATGATGGTAAAGTGCAGGACTACATAGTATAGACAGGTGGGGAGTGGGGAGGAACCAGTGATTTGGCAAGTCCATCCCCCCTCTGTAAAATGGGAGACTTAAACAGGTTGCTTTCTAAGGCCCTTTTCTTTCTAAAGGACAAGGAGCAGGCCAGAAAAATGAGAGATCTGTTTGGAAAGGCTTCTGGGAATAGGTGGCTT